ATATATATATATATATATATATATATACTGTATATATATTTATTTATTTATATTTATTTATTTTTTTAATGACGATCCGCTCAGACGGCGTTGCGTCGTTTATCGCTCACAAGGAGCGGAGTTGGATTCGTGGTCACTTGCGACGGTCGTTCGATCCCAGTGAGTGCCCAGCTTAAATTTAGTCCTTGATATCAAAAGAGTGCAGCACAAGCAACCCGACAAGCAAGCAAAACTGTAAGAAGGCTGAGTGAAATAAGAGCAGAATTTTGAATCTGCCTATATAAGATACGCCTACGAAAGAGACAACTAATACCATTAAATTATCAAGATAATTTTGACTATTTTTAACAAGATTTGTTTCTGGAGAACTATTAGACAGAGCTCGTTTGAAACATTCCTTCTATAACTGGAACAATAATTACACCATAAACACAGTGTTGGCTGATACATTATTATTTAGTACTGTATATTCAAGGGATTACGAAACAAGGTCGGACATAATGATGATGAACCATTCCTCCATGGATAAACAAATAATAGGTTGACGCGAATTATCATATGCTGACGCGAATTACCATGAAAGAATGTATACTAAGTCACTGTTTTGCAAAGCCTGGCAGATTTGCAAAGCGTGGCGGTGTCGAGCCTCGCTGCTGATCTGCAGCAGGCACAGGACTCTCTGACTGCCTGTCGCTGTGGCACGGTGTGGCTGTTTGATGTCGACGTGTGACAACTCACGTGCCTGGCCAGACTTTCGGCCCGGTAAGCAAGGAAGGTAGATGATGGCGTTCTACGAATATTTCTTGCTGTCATTAGTTCATTATATAATATTCCTTAGGTCACTGGTATTGGATTCGTTGGTAGTACTGAAAAAGTATGCGTTATTTAGCCTTGATATACCTGTTCACTTGGTCAATGGTCTAGGCCTAAGCGGCATCAAAAGTGGCAGCGACCAAAGTGCATGGCATGCACTTAAAAATGATGCAACAAACTTACGCAAGATTCCGAAGCACATAGGGCTGGTTGTAGTAGAAGATGAGTTTTCATTTACTGATATAGCTAATATGGTTGTTTGGTGCGTTGGATTTGGTGCCAAGTTTATTAGCTTGTACGATGCAAAGGGTGTGTTTGGTTTTCCATTACTCTTACATAAAATTATTAATATTAATTAGGCCTATTACTTACTGTATTTTTCCTATTTTCTAATACTGTAGCGGCCTCCCACATTGTGGAAGGGCCAAAGTGTGGCCTCTTTTACAGGGTGCAGGTCAACTCGGCCACAAATCAACTCGGCCACAAAAACTTCGGCTGCAGTCAACTCGGCCACAAGTCAACTCGGCCACAAGTTAACTCGGCCACAAGTCAACTTGGCCACAGGTTATTTATAATTAAAATGAAATGTAAATACGGTATTACAGTTTCTGCATCCTTTTTCTTCATGATTAAAATGAAGTACACAGTATATTTTAGTAAAATTCTGATCATCGTAACATCGTCGTGAGATCGTTGTATACATTTCTTCACATTGTACTCTTATTCAACAGAGAAAACCCGCCACTTACAGAATGGAATAAAATCTGACAATTGTAACATTAACAATTTAAGCAATCTTAATAATTATACACATCTAGATGTGTATAAGAGACAGCGTATCTTTAGTCTTCAATTGTTCAACAACATGTTTTACAAACTCCGACTCGCTCAACACTTTCATGGTGCCGGATTTGTCATAACCTGCTACAAACTGGGCATAAGCTTCGAGGTAGTACGCAGAGTCAAATATACTCATTATTTTAATTTGGAGAAAGTTGTCTTTTATATGGAAAAAAACTCTAGCTTGTCGTCAATTAGAATGTACAAACGTCTGTCTCTCCTCGAATAATTACCTCACCATGACACATACCATTTGACATCAATTCTTATGATATCATGCGCTTAAAACACAGCAAATATGGATCCTTTTTTTAAATGTATTTGTTGGTTTAATATCACGTGTCATTGAGCATTTACACTGTCAGATTATACAGTCACGCGCTGTAGATACCAGTATTATTATTGGACACAAATTCGTATATCATCCACTTACAACACGCCCAGTAGATCCTTGTAATTGTATTGGTCGGTTTATCACGTGATTGTAGTCAGGTGCTGTAGTGCATAAATATTTGTAGACTTGCCACAAGTCTCTTATTTTTTTAAATTATTTTTCTCATTCTGGACAGCGCCACCAACGAGAAAGTTAATTTAGAGATAGACGGAATAGAATAAGCGACTTGTAAAACACTGAAGTCAGGCACCAGGATGCCAAAAGAATGACGTAATCTTATATTCCGTATTTGGATAAATGGGCGGACCGAAATAAACAATTTCAACCAATCAAATGTTCATA